CCCTCCGCTGTGGGTAGGGCCGCGCATGTGCTCATGCAAATAACACCTTCGCGGATTTGTGCGTTATCAGGTTTGGGATTGAAATATTTGGCTTTCATATACAGCGTGTCGTTACAACCGCGACAATCAATGAACACACATAACTTTTTAAAATTGTATTAAGCATTTACATTCTTTAAACATCAATATTTACAGAGTTATTAAATTTTACAAAACAAACATTTTTAGAACACCCTTACGTATAAAAACTGTAACGTTAAGTTGATTTGTGTAGGTCACAAAGCATATGAATGGGTTGAATGAATTTAAAAGAGATAAAACATACTGTTAAATTTTGTTTAGTTTTTCTTAATAAAATATATTTTTTTATCATGGATTTTTTAACGTTTTATATTTTTTTATGATTATTTGCAAGTAGCGTTTGACGTGTGTTCATTTATAGTCGTGGTTGTAACGACACGCTGTATATGTGTGTTAATTGATATATAGGCCTTTAATTATAGTAATTAAAATAAATAACATTAGCAGTAGGTAATTAATTAAAATCGTGCAGAAAAACAAGTAAACGTTACTAAACTGCTTTAACGATTAAATCAAGTTCTGTATTGTTGAGTTTAATCACACTAATAATAAGTGTTAAGGGTAAACCGGTTGTAATTAGTGTTGAATATTATTTAATTAATTTGGTAAAAAATGTCGTTAACCTACGACTTGAATTGTGGACATTAATTATGCCTGTACCCTACACATAAAAGAACCCACTAAGTCAACTATTAAGGAGGAGTAGTAGAAAAATGCAGTGAAAACTTCTTTTGGCAGATAAAAACTTTGCATGTTTAACAGCGTTGTGTTTTTTATTTTGTAATTATTTAATTACTGAATTTTGAAAAAAAAGTTCAGCAAAGGCGGATTTTAAGTAGTTTTTTTATCAGTAATTCTATATGGTGCTAAGGGATAACACCATATAGAATGATGATGAAACTGATGACTAAATGACCTACAAGTTACGAATTAATTATGCGTATTAACATTTTGAACCATACAAAATAGATCTTGTCATTGATTTCGTCAATTAAATATTTCGCATTATTTAATACAAGAAAATGTAGTGCTTATAAAAATCGTTGTTTCTTAAAATTTTAATAACTTCATAATCAATGAAGATATCAAAATATTTATCTTAGAAATAAAACTGAAATCTATTCCGTAGCTTTTCCGTGATGCAGGCACAACAGCAGACCTCTATCATTTTATTATTAGAGAAACGCATACATTATATGGAGTTTAACAAAGTAATTGAATATGAATGTTAAAAATTATAAAAATATTTTAGACAATACTTTTTAGGGTTCCGTACCCAAAGGGTATAACGGGACCTTGTTACTAAGACCCCACTGTCTATCAGTCTGTCTGTCTGTCCGTCTGTCACCAGACTGTATCGCATGAACCGTGATAGTTAGAAGGTTGATATTTTCACAGATTATGTATTTCTGTTGCCGCTATAACAAGTACTAAAAACAGAATAAAAAATATTAAAGCTCCCATACAACAGATATGATCTTTTTTCCGTTTTTATAGATAATGGTATGGAACCCTCTGGTCCAGAGTACACTCGCACTTGGCTGGTTTTAATTGTGGTAACTTGGCAATGTTAAAAATTCTATTAAAATATTTCACGAGAGACGTGTGAGTTTGAATATGATTAAATTCACGTGTTATTAGTACCTAACGAAATTTTCACTTAATTGATTAAATAAATGATATAAAATTGTGACACTCAAAGAACAACGGGTAAAACGTGCTTCGTGTGTTTTAATTATGTTTTAAAACGTGATAGTTTCGCGGACGTGATCTTTCTTGAAAATATTTGTCTTGCGAAATAAATACAGAACAGCAACGACCTTAAGTATTATGAAAGTACTTATGGACTTATCGAGATTACACAAATTGTCGTATCAACAGTATATAATGTAATTAAAAGGTAAATATCATTTTTCAAGAGCTTAATTACCCGAAAACATTTCTCAAGCTATTTAAAGATAACGCCAGAATAAATTGCTTACTTTACTATGTAGACTTTTTAATTTCCATTTAAATTATGATTTAACCACGTTGTTGAAGTTTAACACCACATTATATAAATTATGAAAAAAATATTATTTACAATAACACAACCAGTTCAACAGAAAATTTGCTATCAATAAATCCAATGACTCTAAAACTAATAACTAAGCCAGATTTATAGAGTATTTGAGCTCATCTAGAAGTAGTTATTAAAACCAAAAATACAGAATTAAAAGAATTCCTCGAAGGTTATCCTTTGTATATATAGTCGTAGAAAATCATGGCATTAATAGCTACATATTTGTGGCTCATTCTCTGCTCAAGTCAAATAGTTATATACAAGATCAATAGTTATATTATAAACAAAAAGTTAATTGAAGATGACCAGCGATTTTTTATCAAGGAGGTAAACGATTAAATTACCTTGCTATTTGTTTATAACGCAAAAAAAAATGTGTAAAAATCATCTGCGTCGCTTCCGGACAAAATGATGGACAAACAATATATTCGCATAGGCTCTGCTTTACAAAATGTAATTCCAACGCCCGGTTTCGAAACACTGATCATCGCAGAAATTAACTAATCAGCTGATCATTAAGAAGATCATTCTGATCAATTCAAAGAGTTTAACCATCTTTTCGGCAACACAAATGACATTTTAAAAGCCATTTGACAGCTGAATTTCAGAAACCGGACGTAAGTTTTCAAAAAGTAAATATATTGTTTTGAATACATAGTATCCTCCCATTGTATTTGACACTAATGCATTATTACCAACAACCATTCTAAACATTGTTTCTGCGACTGCAAGCAATGCATATGCCTTAGCTGATATCAGTCTATACGTGCGTTTTACGTTACAAACTTGTTCAACGGGTTAAATATATATTTAATTTAGCACGTTTTGAACGTCCGTCCAATTGATTAAACTTTGCCGAGAAATTTTGTTTAGTAGTCTAGTTTAACTAAGCCTTTCATGATACTGGAACGAATTTCCGCACATGCATTTTCGGATTGCTGATTTTGTACTTAAGCTATTGTATAATTTTTGTTTAAGAAAAAGAGAGTTTCTTGCGTTGTGAACCATAAGTGCCTAGATACATTATGATATTCATATGTGCTTGAACATAGATTACATTAGATACACAACTATGAATGACATTTGTCAGATGAGAATTGGAACATAACACCTTCAAGCTGCAAGATGGTAACGATTAGCGATCAAGGGACATTGTTACTAATCATCGAAAATTTTAACCCAGTACTACTTAGTTATATACAACAATAACCGCTGAATGACAATTTTGTTAAATTACCTGGATGTGTATTACGATCTTATTAATATTATGTAGTGTGATCTTAACAAGAAGTCCCAGGATAACCAAAAACAAAGTGTTACAATACAGGATGTATGTTTAAATACTTAAGAAGATCTTGTCATGTTATAATAAAGTAACAAATTCACTCTGATGTAATATTTAATAAGATGCTAATATTATATTGTTTGCATTTTAATGACATAAAATTCTATCGACACAACAATTTTAAAATCTCGATAGGTCCATAAGTAATTTCATAATACGTAATATCGTTGCTGTTCTGTTAAAAATAATTGTGTATTAAAAATTAACACGTTCTATGCATACTTTTATTGGTAGATTTGAAAATATCTTCCATAAATATTTTTAATGTATCAATTGTGTTGAGTATTGGAATATATTATTATTAAATTAAAGTGATTGGATATTATTTGTTTGATATCGATTATTAAATAAATTATATATAAAAACCATAGATAGTCCCATAGTAAATACTCGAGAAAGTAAACCTGGGTATTCTGCTAATGAATTTTGCTTATTGAATTAACACTAACCCACTTGCTAGAAATGGAGAGTTCTTATTTTACGTCGTTAACTAACTTGTTAAAAGACAATTATCATTATGTCGCAACAAGAAACTAAAAATTAGTGTTTATTACCTCTCCGGGTTTAAATACATTATTTAGGCATTACGTGATTGTTATAATTTTAAAATTAATTTCGAATTCATGCGGAGGATATATTAGAGTGAGCTGTTGCAAATGTAATATGATAAGTTGTTGATAACATCTTGAATAGTTACAGTTTTAATTAAATAAAACACTATCAATGCTGTATCTGCGTCTCAATGTTCTCTATATAAAGCAGACCTTTGACGACAAAGTATTAAGTATGTAATATATAGGCGACGTAGTAATACGTAATAGTATATTTTCTGTTACTTTTTAAACATATATTCATTATTGGCAATATTAACCAAAGGAAAGCTAAGGTTAATATGTGATTTCGCAGCATAAAGTCATAACACATTTTTTATTCTTCTACGACTTAAATAAGTTTAGAACACCAATGTACAATACATTGGTGTTCTAAACTTCGGATAAGGAACTGATAATGATTCTTAGTCAATCATGGAACAGATTAAATTACGATAATCAAATCATCACAAGAATGTCTGTTAGTTAGATATTTTAATACTGTTTCTGTCCTTCAAACACATTCGACCTTTATTAATGCTGCGACAAGTATAGACCGGACACTTCTATGTAGCAGCATTCCATTCCTATATACATTCAGTGTACAGAGAAATTAATAGTATTAACTTTGTTTAGATTTGAACTATGTGAATAAGAAGGTATATTAAGCACGAAGTTTAAGAGATTTGAATTTAGGTAAGTCGAGATAGGAATTCGGGTTAGAACTTGTGTTGTTAGACGTTCGTCCCAATTATCCAATATGTGCGTAAGCGTAACGAGGTCACGTTAATAGTGTTGCATAAGTGGGGTGCATCTGCTTGACATTTGAATCGACCCCGAATCCGAATAGAAACTGTGTCACGAATTAGCCGGCGAGCGGGCGCCGGCGCGCGGCGGCTAGGTGCGTTGTGCAATCCCGTTAGCGCTGCGTACGCTCCACGTGCGAGCCGGCGCGCCCCAATGTCGGGCGTGGGCTGTGGGCACCTCGCCGCCCGCTCCAAATAGCGAGCCCGCCCGAACTGCCGCCGGAGGCACGACGCTCGCCGAGTGCACCTCTCACTCGCACTCGTGCACCCCCCCCGCCCTCCCTTTCGCCACGAGAACAGCTGAGTATCAAAACAAAGAAGCGAGACGGACGGTCGCCGCTCCCGCTCGCCGGCCGGCCGGTGTCGCGCCGCATGCACGCCAGTTCTCGTTTGAACCGTGTCTATTGAGGTCGTCCGCTAGAGCCTGCGCGCGAAGTTTACTGCCGCGAACGGATTCTCCTTTGTCCCGATCTTCGAGGACCCTGCCCCCGTATTATGTTTCCGCGCGGCAGCCGCGACCAGCCTCGGCCCACGGAAGAGCCGAACCGCGTCCAGCGCACGGAATCGCGTCGAAATTCCCGCAACTTCCCGAAATTCTGTGACGGTTACCCCGCGAAACGTGTGCGCCGGGCGATTTGAAGTTTCTGTGAGAACTTGTGAGCGGAAGCGTAGTGTGGACAGCCGGTGCCTGTTCGGTCCGTGCATAGTGCGTTCACGCTTGAGCCGCGCGAGTACTGCTGCCACTATGTCGACCGGGAAACGGCTCGCGAAGCGCTCCATCATCGGTACGCGCGTCGCGGCGCTCGGCGACGACGGACTCTACTATTCGGGCATGATCCAGGCAGTGAAGACGCCGGCCCCGTTCCCGGAGAACAATAACTGCATCAACCTGACGCCGAACACTCGGTACACGGTGCGCTTCGACGGCGGCAAGGTGAGCCGCGAGTATAGAGACGCAGAGCTGATCGGACCCGGCTTCCGAGGGCTCACCGGCGTCCGCCTGCAGCCCGGCCAGCGCGTCTTCCTCACGCACAACGGCCGCGAGGTGCGCGCCGACGTGCTCTGCCACGACCACGAAACCGACGAGCTGCGCGTGCAAGTGCACCTACCCGCCGCCGAGGTCAGTTCCATTGTAGCAAAACTAAATGCAACATTTTACTCTTGGTGCATAATAAACTTTTCTATGCCCGACTCTATTTGTAGAGCCTAAGTTTAAGGTAGCTAGTAAAAGATTTCAACGACGTCGGCCCCCACATTGCTTAATACCGTGCAAAGCTTATCGACCGATATGGTGATTGGAAGTCGTCGACATTGGTGCAACACAACACTGCGCGAAGACAAAGACTAGCCGCGCGGGGGCGCTGCGAGCTATTGACCCGGGCGCACGTGCAGCACGACGCGTTGCTTACACGCAGCGCACACTGCACTATCTGTTATCGTGCAATGAAATTGTTCTAGTCGTTCATGAAACTTGTGCATTGATACAATTGCATCGATGGCGCAATGTCTTAGGTTAATGAGAAGCAGTTCTCTTTAACCTAAGACATTGCGCTGTCGTAGGTTCGATCCCGACGTAGTTCAAAGTTGTGTCCATCAATAAATATTTCTTCAGAGCATGCATACTTCGCGTCGTTTTTGATGTTTGTGAAACCAACAACACGGGAGCTATTTTCTGCGTGAGATGTTTAATTGAGAAGAAAAACTCCACCGTTATGGGACTACCCATTCGATTTCTTTATTGGGTATAATTGTACGGGTTATCCCCTTGACTGTTACGGGGAAATCGAAGCTGAGAAACCCATAACGAGGCTGATAACTCGCGGTAAATAACTTGATTTGTTTATGTGTATTACGTCAGCGCCGGCGAACTATTTGTTTACCGGCAAACTGCTAACTGTCGTGTCACGACATTGCTGAACGTCACTGCGCCACGGGTACTTTATAATCGCTAATAACACATTTCTGAACGTTTATCGACTCATTTCGCGTCATTCACGAAATGACTGTTAGATTAGATAGCCCGTGGCACTATATCGCAGTCAGTTTTAGATTCGCGCGAATAATTATATAACGTTAACTGTATTTTAAGAGTCTACGTGAAGTTCGCAGAATAAGGGGAAAATCTAAAATTCGCATTGTACCATCCTTTTAACCTTTATATTGATTTATATTCTATTCAATACGTCTTTCGCAGTTTGATAGACTTGCACTAGTTTAATACTCGCAGTTGTAACAAGGTTAACGTCAGAGTGAGGTGTGCAAAAAAGACTTATACGCAACTCGCCCTCGATGTGGAGAGAGAAATTCGGTCGCACTCGGCACCGTTAGTACAAACAACTGTACATAATTGGATTAAAATTTTCCCCGCACTTAGGCGTGACGTTAGGATTTCTTTTGGTGCATCATTCTCGGCTCTTCTAATACCTTACGGCGTTCTCCAATCTCCACTTTAGTTATGTCCATTCTAAAACTTTTTGGCCGCACATACGCTGTGATTTCTATTGGTCTCTTACTCAACTGCCGTTGCGCTCTCCATATTTGTGATTAGATCCTCGCAAGACCAAAAAAACCTATCCACATTAATTTTATTTATACATATGTATGTATATATATATATATATATATATATATATATATATATATATATATATATATATATATACATATATATAATTGCTCCTAATCCAAATGTACTTTGTATAGGTGATTTTACGTTCGTAAAGTTCACTCGACGCAGGGTAATAATCTGGTGCAGGAGTGATTTTAAACCAAGTTGAATATTCGTGATATATTGAAGACAATAAAGATCGTCTCGTACCATCCGTTATTGTTTAATATTATACGGCCTCGTCCATCCGACCGAAGAAACCGCAGCCGCTCCGAAATAGCGGACAACTCTATCGTCATCGTGCACTATTTTTAAAGTCGACCGACGCGTTAAAAACATGTTTGTCGTACTAAACAACCGCCGGGCGGCATGCCGTCATAACATCATCGAGTCGATTTACAGTAATTCGCTTCGTCGTTCCATTCGTACAAGTGGGGAATTGCGGCTCCCGTTAAACATACGCTTCGGGGTTCCGCCAACTAAACTATCACTTTCGAATATTTCACCAAACTGTCAATTGACCGTGACACGTTTTGCGGGTGAATACTGTAATAAAAGTAAAAATCTAAACGTTATCTGATAAGACGGTAATGAGCCCTAGGTTGTTTAAACTCGTGTTCGTACTTAGATAACGGAATCTTTTACAGTCCTTCTAAAGTAAATATAGCGATTCGCGCCGGAAGAGAACCAATAAATTTAGAGTTTTTTAGTTCAAGTCGCAGTTAGCGTCGATTATCGATCTGTAATCTTGAGTGTACAGTGAGCTCTAAGCCCTTTGCTGTCGCGCTTCGTAACAGTACACAACGTACATAACGGATGCGTATTCGTTGCATTGACGAGGAAATCGGCGTACAGAGCCGGCCGGCCTTGCGTAGGCACTTTTTGTGACGTCGGGCGCCGCGACAGAATGACGCGATCGCTCTCGCTCGTCCAGGCCAACTGCAACTCGGCTCGAGAAGCCGTCACCTAACAGTGTCATCGCGAGAAACTCAAACTGGGATGGGTCAGTGGAAGGTAAAGTATCGTCGGTGTGAATCGAAGGTTGTACGGCATATAATATTCCACTTGGGAGTTCATGCTTAACTTTTGGTTATGTTAAAAAAAACACACCTTAAATAGGTTTGCGAACCGCTGGCATGAATTACCAATTAATGTATCTACTGCCATGTTTATGCATGTTTCCTGAATTAGGAAATGAAATAGAACTGACCGTTATTTATATAGAGGACTATATAGATACTTTTTTATTATAGAAATATATGAAGAGATTTAATTCAACAGACTCCTGTGGATGTAAAGTAAGGCGTGGATTGCGCAATTCATCGTATGCGATAAGCATAGTACTATACCAAAATAATAGTAAAAACAACGAAAGGTCAATGTGCATTTTGTTTACATCGCTGCCGCGCTTGTGCCAGATAAACGGTGCTGCCGGCACAGATAGGTAACGCAGTTTACGTCACAGTGGGCGTCAGCCGTCGCTTACACGAAAACAAGTTAATAAGATAACACGGCGACATTATTTACTCGTCTACGGGTGAGAGCGTCGCGATGATACAATGTCTTGTAATTCGTTGCTTCCATTACATTACAAAGGATCCCGCATGGACATGGTCTGTTACTGTCCGCATGTTGGGAATTTCACCGGCCCCGCGTTCGAGGAAATCTGCAGTGACGCGGTATTCCCCGCTGCAGCGTCATACGTAATCTACTCGACGAATGACGGAAAAACGCTGCACGAACGATCGGACAGATCGGTCGCGCCTGACTCACTCACGTCAACGTTTCGTTTTCATGACCGAAACAAATATGACACGGACGTGTAATACGCATACTGAAATCTACTTTTACTACGGTGAGCCCGCGTGTCTTCTGTTGCTTGCGCGGTAAGCTCGGCCGGGGAAGTACCGCGACCTCACAAAAGAGGTGGAACTGGGCTAATTAAACGTTATCGGCGACTACAAAAGAGGTTACTTTGATATATGCCTAAAGTAAAAAAGCTGCACGGTGAAGTAACGCGGGATAGTCTTTACCGTATCCGTTGCAAGCGTTTGCACCAGCAATAACGCGATACGAGTATCGGCCGTTTTCAATATTCTATCTATCTAGATAGACAGAATATTGAAACCGGACGTATATCGTCGACGTTTAAGCCGCCGCTACGATTCGAACGCTCGCTTTCTACTCCGCAAGAGCGGGCGCTTCGGGCCGGTAATATGTCAGGCGAAGAGGTGTAAAAATAAATTGAGAGTGCGCGGCCGAGGAATAAGGCCGCGACGCGGACGCCAGCCCCGGAACAGCGTAACGGTATTCATTACAAAATCGCGTCGAGAATTATTTTCACGTGCGCCGGGCGAACCGTTACTCGACGGGGCCCATGGAGAGCTCGGCTAAGTGGAACAAGCCGCTAAGGCCCGCCAAATCGCCCGCTTCCAAGTCGCTTGGTATTAATTATAATTTTTTTACAAAAAAAACAGACTTCAAACAGGAAACAAAAACATTGTTAATACCTATAACATTTGAGGATTGCCTTCGATTTCTCTGGGATGCCATCATCAGATCCGGGTTTCTTTATCATGATATCATCCTTGGGATATCTCTTCATCAACAAAAAAAGAATCGTCGAAATCTGTTCATAAACGACGAAGTTATCCCGGTTATTATATGTATATACGGGCAAACTGTGAAACCTCCTTCTTTTTTAAAGTTGGTTAAAAAGAATAATATCCTTTCGTAAGAAAAGTTGAGAAGCGGATAGGAGATTGTAATTTGTAAGTGTCTTCGAGAACAGCAGTTGCAACGTTGAAACCGTGACGGAACACAAGAACTGAATGCTTAAAATTCGCGTCGGTCTTCCGCGAGACCGAGGCCGAGCTGCGCCACAGTATTAAAAATGTTGTTGAGGCAGGTCTCACTTTCAAGGGGGCGTCCGCTTCAGACGTCCGACGATTCACCGATAACAATTTCTACATAACAATTACTGGAGTATTGTGTCAGAACCTTAAAAATATACAGTGATTGACTATTTGTCATGGAAGAAACCGGAGAAAAAGCTGTGAAATACTGTGAGGTGGTGGTACTTACCCGGACGAGCCTGCCCATTCGTGCAACAGCCGAGGCTGCTGCGTGGCCCTACCACCGGTAAATAAATGTATAGAATGTTTAGTAACTACTCTTTACATATATTATGTAGTCTAATCGGTTTATTTGTTAAATCTTCTCTACTATAGGTCACGATCGATCTGTTGGCCACCCCTGGTGTGGATTACCACCTTTCCTCTTATTAAATAGGCGGCTTTTGATTGTACTATTGTATTAGGTCCGTAACTTAAGTTATGGCTGGCGGTTGGAGCTTTTCAAACGAAGCGGGCTGTTGCGTTACGTAAACGATGTGATTTCCCTGCAATCGCGAGCGCGCCTCGCCTCCGGCGGGCTCTGAGCGGCGAGCGTGAAAGTGCCTCCCGTCGGCCGTGTACCGCTTCGGATTCAATCGCTTCTGCACAACGCAACGCGGCCTTTGCCGCTGGCCGTAACACGCTAATCGGTCGGTCCGTAACACGCTAATCGTACACGCTCATTTTCTTTTGTATAACTGATGTTACGCTTTCAGTCCTTAGACTATTAAAGCTTCATCGAACGCAGAAGCGGATGTGTACCTTAACAGCTTTGGACTATTACAACACCCGCTAACACGTTAGTGCAAAACAAACCGCTAAAGTTGTCCAATCATTTGAACTCCCTAATTCCTAATTTTTAGATGCACTAGTGACTAAAATATGCCGTCGGAGTCGTCACCGCGCAAAAATCTTGACATCTTATCTATTTTGGTTTTATTGCAAGAAGACAATCCAACTGTCAGAAAAAGTGTGAGCCCTCGTTGTCTGCCGCTTTTCGACAACACTGATGTTTCTATGTCGAAAACAAATGCCGTTCTGTTGATCTATCTGATTCCTAAAGGTTGACAATGCAACTTCAAACCAATAAGTACTATGGTTGTCCATCGACGGTTACTGCTTAAAATTTGTCACCTAACTAAAAAAACCAAGCCGGAGCAATGTCTTGGTTCCTTGAACGTAAACATTAGAATCAAACTCAACATGACATCCATAACGCAATCGCGTGCACAGAAATGGAATACCGTGTAGGCGTAGTCTGCAAATGGCAATAGCATTGTAATTAATATCGTTTTGCTAGCATCACCGGCGAAAGCACGATCTAAAAGTGAATTATATTTTTCCACTCCAGTTGCGTCCTTCTCTCCTCCGCAGAAGACACTTACACTGATGGCGTCCGCCGTTGCGTGGAGCAGTCTCACGAAGAGACTAGCGCATTTGCAGTATAATAATAACCAGCGACCCGCCCTGGCTTCGCTCGGGTGCAATGTATTACATATATATAAACTTTCCTCTTGAATTACTCTGTATAGTAAAAAAACCGTATCAAGATCCGTTAGGTAGTTTTAAAGATTTAAGCGTACATAGGAACAGACAAACAGCGGGACGACTTTGTTCTAAACTATGTAGTGATCACGAAGAAAAAAAATTAACGGCCCCGATTTCCACGTCCGACATTATCAATGTTTTGGTTATTTCACGTAAGAATCGTTAAGTAATATGTTACCAACATAGCAAACGTATAAATCGTATTAAAATGCAATATACAAGTTTCACCTTCGATAATTTCTCGTCGTGCGTGAGTTTTTTGCCGATGCGGCGTAGACGGAACCGGCGGCCGTCGAGCGGTCATTGGCGACGCATCCATGGGAAGAGAAATCGAACGACTCGGATACTACCTCGCGCTTGTAAACACGTTATAATTATCCTCCGTGCACATTTCCCAGAGAACAATTGTTTGATGTTTGCTTATTGAAGTGTAGACCACTCAGATAGATCAAGCAACATACAGACACGTCGTAATAGTCTTGAAATAAATTTTATTGTGAGTAAAAGTAAAGTAGCAGTCTATGCATGTCTCACTGCTCGGCAAAGGCCACCTCGGCACAGAGGGTATTAAGGCATAGTCCACTACACGCCCCACAATGCGAATTGGCAGTTTACACATATCTTCGCAGTATCTTTGTTTTTGTTATTATTTCGCACATACGCAGGGTTTCACGCGATGCGATTGCAATTTTTACCGTACTGTAATAATTAAATAACATTTTTAATAATAGAACAATATGCTTGTTAAAACCCAGTTTAATACTCTCGTGACTATTTCTTTCGTAACGACTCTAGTGACGTTCGCTGGATTCTCAATGACACAGATTCCATCTAAATCAAGGTTGATAAGATAAAGCCGGTGATATGTTCGCGTATTCGTCGGTGTTTATAAGGTATCAGTAAGTAATGAGATAACGGATGGATCCAGTGCTGTTCACATACAAATCGACCGAAATCCCGGAATGTTCTGTGATTGCACTGTTTATTTTATATTCCATCACTATAAGTGCTTGTCTTTCAATTCGTATTTACTTTCAAAAGATTGTAATACATCTTAAATCCGAACATGTATCAACCTCCGTTCATTATTCAGACGTCCTCGCTTTTTAATGATCTGCTCATTAACCGCAATGGAAATTCAATCTAAATAACTGTTAGTAACATGTGTTTGTGCTCAAAATACATCTCTTATTTCGCGTCAAATCGTCTGGTTAAAAATTGCATTGAAGACATATAAATACGATAATATAATGTGAACAATAGAATAATATATAAACAATTTAATCATAACAAACAATACACAAACCTTTTAAAACTATTATTTCATAATGCATGGTGGATTTGTGAGTAGTATTATGTTCTTAGGTTGGCAACACGCTGCTTAGTATGGAATAGCTTGCTTAATATATTTGACCTACTTTCAGTACCAAACTCGCAAGATGATTGAACATTTAATGATGTCAAACAACCGTTGCAAATTTATAACAGTTTTGAACGTTGTAATTCGTCAGCTTGACCTAAAAATTTGTAAAAAGCGTAACCTAAATTTAGTCCAAATAATGACCTCATTTGAATCACTCAGCGTTATGGCTATGAAGAGGCTATTTTCAGTTATTATTTTAGTTGCTAATAGTATTCAAAACACGACTCTATTGCTATGAGTTTTTCAGCGCATTGTCCTCCCACAAGTCCGCGAAGAAGGCAAGGCCAGCCCTTTGCGGGTGACCTTGTTTCTGTCACCTTGGAATAGCTTCACGAATCGTGTGCACAGAACTGACTAAATACTTGGCATTAGTGAGAACGGGCGCTCGGGCGCCGATCTGAATGATACATTGTTCGTGGCGAAGGTTTTCGAAACTGCGCGCGAATCCGACGCGGCTGGGTGACCAGTTTAGCGATCTGGCGTTACGCGCGGAGCGGAGTTTTGAGTCAGCGGCGCAAAATAACTCGTTTTCGTTGTCCGGCTTAACAGTAACACAACAGAACCGTTAGCACGTGGGCGGATGTCGCTTTTGCCGCTTACGAGTATTCCAGCCAGCGCCGTGCTGGATTATTTGCGACGCCTTTTTAATTGCATTAACCCATTTATTTGAGGATGGAAGCGAGTTTCGTTATTTGAGCGTTGCACGCGCCGTCGACAGCCCTGTGTAGTGGTTCATAACGCGTCAAGTATACGATTAATTTGCAGAAAAAGCGAACTTGGCAACTCTTTTCTTATGCAAGTAAAGATCGTAGTTTTAACAACGAACGGCAGGCGATGCGGGCCGCCTCCGGGGGGCCTCTCTGGCACGGTGACCCACTGACCCAGAAATTCTGATATTGAACCGGCGTCGACGTATCGCCCGCATTCGTAGCTCGGCCTCCACTTGCGTTTTCCTTTTTCGTGACACGAAAATGTCCGTATGCAATGACGATGCGTGGAGTTTTCGCGCTCTACCGATTGATCTCTTTTAACTTGCCTCCTATAAAGCCTTTTGATTGGGTGAACCGTGGCTATTTCACTTGTAAACCTCTGAGCCGAAACTTATATAAAGCACACATTGGTTTGGCAATGTCAATGCTAGTTGTGCTTTAGCCGTATATTACACACGGCCCGCGGGTCGGCGAAATAACGGTTCTATTCGTCGCGCGTATGTGCGTTAGCGCGCGGCGAACAGGTTCCCCATATCCGTTATCAAGTAACGCAGGGCGCGGTGGGCCCGGTCCGCTTTTGGGTCAGGCTGGGTCACGACGCCTGCGTGCTCGCCGCCCGACCTCTCGGACGCATTTAGCGCCATTTCGATGCCTAAGAATAGAGAGGCGACCGCGCTTGCGGGCGCCCCAAGGCGAGACGCTCACTTCTCCGAGCGTCGCACGAAACGATGAGATTATGGCATCAACGGGCCGGATGTCGAAACCGCCGCGGCCGCGTCCTTGCGCGGATTTCTCGATTGCGTAACGTTGCACGGACGATGCCATTTGGGAAATACGCGCCTCTTGTGTGGGCTATGCACCGCCTACGTGCGCCCGCTACGCGAAAGGGGTGCAGTAGGCGCTTCCCGTGACGTCACCGACGCGCCTATACCGCGCTACGCCAAGTCGACGCGCGGTGACGTCGCCACGGAAATTGCTATTAGTCTGCGACATGACGTCACCACGTTCTTAGTCCACCGTGTGCCGCTGAAACGTCAACGGAGCCTGTCCAACGACCGTGATAATTAAAGCGTAGCGTTCCAACCTTGCACCATCATTGACAGCGCTGCGCAACGGCCACTTCCTTACAGCGACAGCCGCTGACCTACATAGACAAATGAATGTACTCACTAACGCTATTCATTGCAACGGAATGTACATTACTATTTAATTACGCTATCGAAAGGTAGCTAGAAGAAGTACATATCATGATCAAGTGATTCAAAAATTAGATTCATATGCTTGTAGTGAACTGGAATTCAGATATTACACGAATACCGCGAAACTGGGGCAACTAGTTTAATAGGGCAGATTGGGGCCGCTTCCAGGGTAGCGGCGTGACCTGTATGCACCGCGCCAGCGTCGGCCTGCACGTCGATAAGGACGACCTAGCGCGAGACTAAGTTTCGGCCAGACGCGAACTCGCGGCCAATAATTCTCTGCAATAATCAGTTAAGTGCTTCGGCCCGCTTCGCAGAAAGGGGCACGCTCGGCTGGCCCTTTCGTCGTTTTTGCGATTTGGCAATACGCGATCATACGCGTTTCCCGTACACAACGAACGAATCGCCGCACCAAGGAGAGCGGTGGCAGTAAAAACGGCCGCCCCACTTCGTGTTGCACAATGTGGGTCACTAATTTTGGGGGCAAGGTCGCCGGTGGCAGCGGCGGGGAGCTGCAGGGCCTCGCGTGCCCGCCTCCAATGCATCCGCTGAGCAACGCCGCTCGTATTCGCGGATCCGGCAAGGCCGCGCCAATCGATCTGCGGCCTAACTGCACACATCCGAACCGAGTAGCAGATCGAGAACGGCTGCGATCGAGTTGGACGTGACTCGAACATTATAAATATTCACATCTCGTCACTATCCGCCTCAATGCCTAGGTTGTGTTAGCTCTCGTATGTGCCTTAACGTTTGTTTTGAATTCCCACGCAGTTAGAGCGTGCGTATTTATTATGCTATAATCGTTTGACTACTTTACCCAATGAATGTTGACCAATTTGGAAAACTATGGTTTCGAGAAGGTGGAATGAAGTCATTATATAATTAAAAATAAATAAATCGCGTTCAACTTTACATACAATAAAATACAAAGCATAATTCAACAATCTTATCGTCTACGCCTGATATGGGCTGCATTATTTTTAACATTATGCATTGCTCTATCACAGGGTCGTTAACAGATATGCGGGATGGTTATCTGAGTGATAACACTCGTGGTGTATTACCTCTGACATTCTGTCTTAGCTCGAAAAAATTTGCATTAATACACTATAAAATACCTACTTAATTTTCTTACATTATTTAGCCATTGTCTAAACCGATAAAGAACTAAACAATGATTGCTGCATTAGAATCCATTCGGTAAGATTGCTCAAAACTTGAATGTTTAACAGATAAAGAAAAATAAGAACGAAGGAAAAAATAAAACCAGCCTCTCTTAATAAGTGTTCCTAAAAGAATGTTCGTACTTCTATCCATCTCGCGGATGCAGTTTCACCGATATTAACTGAGCATTTAGGTGCATGTAAGGCTCTGTACTAAGAACTTTTAGTGTATCGATAGTGGGGTCTATAGTGCAAAGCTATTGACCCATTTGCCGTTGCACGAGCGCTTACTGCCGTTGGAATTGCTTATGCATGCGTGTCTTCGCAACTGCCGCTGCTTCGATTAATGCGTGGGCCCTGTTTTACTAATTTCCGATGATTCTGTCATTAAAATAGACTAACATCCCCTAACCCCACAGACATCGTTAGACAGAATTCTATAATTCTTAACAATCTTAATCATTGAGTGATACCAAATTACCATAAAGTGTAACCAAAAGTAATATGTGCAACATATATTCAGAAATATATAACCTAGGTGTTTAAATTTTAGCTATTTGTTACACTTACTTAGCCAACGTCTAAGAAAATAAGGAGTGGTAGGTTGACCTGGTATGGGCACTTTGCGAGAAGCGATGGAATTCATATGACTAGATGAGAGATGAGTATGATTGTGGTTGGAGGGTTTAAAGCTACAGGAAGACTATATGTCGTAAGATGACGGCTGAGAGAGGAAAGTGGAAGAAGAGAATATGTGTCGCGCCTAGTTTGGGACAATGGCAGGGGAAAGAAGATTTGACCTACGTTACTCCTCAATTTCTTTTAGCGATTTATTGAAGAGTTCTGCATGAAACAGTATGTAAATATATGTTTTCGGATATGTGTTTCATAATTTTCATTTTAATACTTATAACATTCTACCTCGATCACCACAGTGAAATTCACTTCAGTGATATTAGCTGGCTTCCAATTTACAGTTATCGGTTATTTTTATCGTGTAAGCCACTTTTAGACGAAAGTAACCGCAATTTTATCGTCTTCACCTGATATGGGCTGCATTGTTTTCAATATTACAAAGGTAATCGATATTAAGTGCATTGCCCTATCTCACGGTCGTGTTTGTGCAGATAGCACACATGTATTACCAACATGAAGCATTTTGTTTATAAGACGAGGAGGTAAACAGAGGAGACGTTAAATTATCATCGCCTCCTTAGGCACTTATACAGGGTGGCTTTTCTAAAGGTGTCCAAATTTACACATGAGGTTCAGACTCGGTAGTATAATCGTTAATTAATATAAAAATAAACTTTTTTTTATCAAAAAAAGTGCCATTCCACTTATAAACCTTTGAAACGAACTTGTGTGCGTGTTAGTTATGAATGATCTCGCGTAAAATAAACGAGTTGCCCATAAATCACGCACTTTTTGAGATAAGTAGAAATGAATGTATTTATAATAATTTCTTGTATTTACGCGATTACACATTATAAATGAAACTAATTTTACGGATTTATCGCGTTTATTTTTAATTTAAGTTCCCGACGTTTCGAACCCTTTACAGCGTTCATGGTCACGGGACAGACTGAGGTGTTAGACGTCTGATTGTCAAAGTTATCCCGGGCTACCGTCAGTTTTTGTATTATTGATTTTGTGTCCTTTGGTTGTGGTTCTTTTGTTCTTAGATTTAATTTTATTGATGATAGGATCCCAAGCTGATGGTAGTACCCAACCCTCTTCTCTATTGAAATTAGGGTGTTTTTTTTAATTTCAATAGCCTCGCGAATCATCCTTGGGAGGAATCGGTGTTCTTTTGCAAGGATCTGTGGTCTATCAAACCTGATGTAGTGGTTGGGCCGATTTAGAGTGTGCACACTCTAAATCGGCCATAATAAGCCCAAAAGAACCACTACTGCAAGACAAGATACAATTAGCTCCCTCTGCATAGATCGGACACAAAATCAATAATACAAAAACTGACGGTAGCCCGGGATAACTTTGACAATCAGACGTCTAACACCTCAGTCTGTCCCGTGACCATGAACGCTGTAAAGGGTTCGAAACGTCGGGAACTAAAATTAAAAATAAACGCGATAAATCCGTAAAATTAGTTTCATTTGAATGTATTTAATTAATTACGAGTGATTTTAAATATTTATCACATTTTCTATAACATTATTTATGTCTAAAATTTAATACAAAAAATGGATACACTTAAAAAATCCTCCCTGTAGAGGGAGGAATTTGGTTATCCCATTATTCAGAGGATACGCAAAAGTATAAGTACTTAAACCGTGTTAGGGCCACGCAGCAGCTCGTCTCTGGAAGGACCTCCGCCTCATATAAGACCGGGGTGAAGTGCAAGTATTATTCTTTCGTGTCAACTGGTGAGTAAGGTAACCGGGGGACCACTTTTTAATGGTTGGCTAAACACCTGCAATCCGCCAGCTATTGTGGCCATGGGCGGCGATATTCACTTAACATCAGGTGAACAGTCTGCTAGCTTGCCAAGTTTTCATAAAAATACTTTTACTTGCCACCGGTCTTCTCGAGGTAAAAGAAGGAGGTCAAAAGAAGCTTAAGGCTGTCTTGCTGTCGGATGTAATACCACATCCTATTTAAGCGTGGTTATATCTTTAATAAGAATCAGGCATGAAAATTATTACATTGGCTACCATTTGTTTCAATTATCAGAAATCAAAAAGCAAAAATCCGTACGTTTGCAACTTGCTTTTTGAGTCTCTCGAAAACACTTTATATAAGTTCGTCATCTATATTGTATTCTATAGAGGGTGTAACAACTAACCCAAAAATTGCTGTTAATGACACTGCACCACATTTTCGTATTACAATGACAACCGGTAACGACGGCGAAACTGGTCTCGTTACGTGTCCACCGCTATTTGCCAAAGGTTAACGTTGTAGTGTTTAGAGTGACAGCTAAGATCGAGCGAGCGTGCTTGTTCTAATGTTATAATAACTGCGTTGCGTTTATCGATTATCGTGTCAAAGTCATTCGGCAACTTTCACCCGCGTGGCGGCCATGTTTCGCCGGCGAGCGGGGCGGTTGTGCAACAGTTGTCGCTTTTTACATAACGCCGCGTCAACGGAAAACCGCTGCGATGTGTTCGCACCGAATTAGAACTCGAAAACTACCTTTAGTCCTTATGTGAACGTAAAACCAGCCGCCCCTCCCCGGTTTTAGGCTCCTAAAATCTAACCGTTCAATTGATTTGCGAGAAACAGTTGCAAATGACGGCCAAATGAAGGAAACTCTAAAATGAAGAACGTAGCGGAAGTCTGCCAAGAACCATGCTGGTTTTCGTATACAACGTTCCTGGACGCAGAGTCGCATATTAAAATCCACCTTAGCTGAATACGGCCACGCGTAAAGGTGTTAAAAAGACATAGGCATGCATAATGCTTACTCATTAGAACCACTTTCATTGTTCCGGCGCCGGCCGAGGGGCCGCCTCCGTGCACCAAATCGCGTAAAAGTGAAAGTATCCATGATGCGATCACGAGGCACGTTCACTCGCCAGCGAAAACCATGCGCGCTGTTATATCGCGGCCACTCCTTCTTGATACTCTTTATTGTGGGCCAGCATCCGGAACTGGGTCGCTGACGATGGCGACTCCGTTCTCGAATGTTCCAAAGTTCGCCCTATTGTCGCCGCGCCAGAGAGCACGATAAATTTCTCAAGAAATCTCGTGCCAGCCATTCGCTTCGGTGGAACGTTTAAAAACTGTTGTGTAACTGCGCAAAATACGATTCGTTATAGTTCTATTTTACGCAACCGGTCAAGGCTTCAAATCATTAATTAATGAAGAGACCTTTGGAAAGTCAATAATACATCCCATGTATTAAACGCCTAACAAAGATTCGTTATCATTACTCGCTCTAGAATCTCTACCAGAAATCGTGTTTGACTCACTAGAAGTGCAGGCACGTTAGACGAGGTCAAGGGAAACTTTGTAGCGGAGCCCAGCCGTATTTAGGCAACGACGCTGAAATTACGAGAGAAACGTAGTCCAGAGCCATGTGTAGTGTTCGCAATTATATTATGTCAATCACGCAATCAGCGGCGTACAAGGAAGCCGGAGACGAAAAAGATATCAATGTCGACTACTTGATGTTCACTGCACATATTAACCCAGACCGCGGTACGTTGGCCGTTTTTAATTATACCCGTCACACTTCTTCCGGCCAGCATTTATATCAGATCATTAAACTATAATTTATGGCGTTGGGAACTTAATTTATTTCAAGTGTCACTACTTTATAAAGTCAGATATGCGGCAATAGTTCAACAATATTTAACACTACCTATGGATATATTCAATTGTTAACTAATATTTTCTCATTTAAAAGCACGCAACAATTAAGCATAATTTTGCAACTACAATTCACCATAAGTCAAGTTACACAAAATCAATTCGTTTTAAATTTTATTGTTGGTACACACAGATCTAAAAAGTGTGGTTGCTGATCGAAAAACTTCATACTGGTTTCTGTGTAACACGGAACGTAATGCGCCTTATAAATCAGCGTAGTTTCAGACTATAATGTAAAGTTTGTGACACGGAACGCATCTCGCTCCAGTTGCAGCTGCGCTAGGTCATGACGTCACATACACGTACCGCACGAAGGTCGGCCATATTGATCTCGACACACCCGCCATTCGCTCTACAGCCTTACGTAATCTCACACATGACGTATTTACAAATTGCATACGCATAGTGGCAATTAAAAGTGCACACATGTCATACGTGTGAGCCGTGATAGCTCAGTGTCCGGGCGCTCGCCTTTAATTCAATATACTCGAGCAACCCGAGTTCGATCCCCGGTGCCGGCACCAATGAAGTTTTTAACTTTAAGTGCTGACTTATCACGTGCTCCGCGGTGAAGGAAAACATAGTGAGGAAACCTGCATATTTTCGAAATAAAAACAAAAATGTATATATATATATATATATATATATATTTCGAAGATATATGAAGTCCGCCAATCCGCAGTGGGGCCGCATGGTGGACTATGCCCTGATACCCTCTGAATAGAGGAGGCCTTTGCCCAGCAGTGGGACATGTATAGGCTGTTACTTTACTTTACTTTTTAAATGTCATACACGACACAGCTTGATAACCAGAGAGCCATTTAACGAACACGCTCAGATAAAATTCTGTATTTCCTGCGAGCGCTCCAAGCCTTACATTGTCATAATTGTTTCCTTGGTTTTTGCCGTTTTTGAATTTAATGTATTGTCTGTAATTTGCAACTGTCTCAATATATACTAAGTTTTTATTACTTAAAGCTTCTAGTGACATTAACGAGGGATATTTGATTTGAACATACGGAAAAACTTTTAGCCATTACCATTATTAACGATTCTTTCTAAGAAGCCACAAAAAATTTTCCCGGAAACTTGTAACTTTTCCAACTTGGTCACGACTTTTTTGCTTGACAAAAATAAAAAAAATGTTTCAATTTAATTCAGAAAATTATTTTTATTGGGAAAATAAATTGTTACGTTACTGGATGTTTTTATAAGTAATTGAAATAATTAGGTTTTTAGGGTTTATATAGGGTTTTTTTGTTTTGCTTTAAACATCTTATCGTGTTTAAGTTAGACGATGTTGTGTTGTTTTTAAATATCAATGTTAAATTGTTCGTCTTTTTATACATGTTAACTTCGTAGAAAAACCTTATAATACATATTCCTATGTTTGTTGCTTTAGGCACCAATAGAGCTGAAGAAGAGGCTGGATGAGATAAGACTGCTGGAGTCACGCAAATCTGCGAGATTGGCGGATGTGGACACGGACTTTGCGAGGCTGGCGGACATGGCTGGTGACCGTCGCCGAGCTTCCGCTACCATCGAGGTGCCCACACATCACATGGGGTGAGAAATGAAACATAATTAAAATTGCAGCATACATAGATGCTCCACCGCTGTGGCAAAATCTCCTCTATAAAATAGAATATATTCCGTCACACGACTAACGTATTTGCTGTCTTCAAACACCTAAAGTAGGAGTCTTTAATATTTCATAGGTGTTTTACTTGCGCGAAGAGAATGTGATGAATTTGCACGTAAAATTATAATCAACAATTTCATTGCTACTGGTACGGACTCTAACAAGATTTCTACGTTTAGTCAACTACAACACAGGGGTAAGTACATCGAAGCCAAAGCTTCACTAATATTATGAAATATACGAAATATACTTCGGTTTAGAAAGCTTTATAAAAAACTGATTACTTACTAAAATTTAAATTCGTAACCATAGGTTTACACACTTTAACGTGTTGAATTTGTGTTAATTATATTACATTAACACAAATTCAACAAAGTGATTATACAACAAATATTTCTTAGTTTATGCCTACTTTTTCAAAAATAAAACGAAGATAAGAACCAAATTGTCAACTGGCTACGTTAGCTCTACTTTTACAACAATAATATTAAAAGTTGCACTTGGACCGTGACTTTTAAAGCATTTAACTTTTCCTCGCAATATGGTAAAAGGGATTTAAGAAATATTAATCATCATTATCAGTATTGCTTTTACCAAACCGATTAATTACCATACAGCAACTTATTAAGCTATCCAGACATAATGTTAACTTGTTCATCTGTGTTATCTCGTTATCTTTCGTACTTTGCGAACTTCAAAGCGCTCTACTAATTCACTTCGTGCGCTCCAGCGATTGTTCTCGAAGAACTCCGAAAGGATTTTAATAGCGCCGTTCTTTTGGGAAAGTCTACGTGTGTCCGGTGCTGCCTTTCACATCACTTTATTCCAAACGGTCCGCCGCGTCTCGTCCAGATTTGGCGAAAGTTTTCCACGATGACGCTTAAAAAATTCACCGCGTCTACGATACTACTTTCTCGTAAGGTCAATCGGGTTAACTAAGTTCGTCATCGTAACAAGTATTTTTCGCTGGGACGCTTTGTCAAGTAACTTCGGCATTTATGGGCTTCGTACTTTACGCAAACGATTTTTTACAGGTTTTATGTTTAACTTGTGTTTTAATTTCCGATTTCGATAAACTGAAAAGGTCACGTCAAATTTAATATTATAGTATTCGCAATAATTATATTGTCAATAATCTGTTGTTAACGTATCGGCAGTTATATTGTTCTTTTACATTTGATTAACATCCACTCGCATCGATCTCCAGTTAAATTACTACGGGACAGGTTGTTACACGAAACCGATTTAAGCAGTTCAAATATAGGCCGTGCGCGGACTGTAGTCCTAGCGAGCGGAGAGGTGGGGGTCGGGCGCGGGCGCTCGTTTCGAAATCGGCACCGAGTGTTAGAAACTGGATGGCAGTGTTGCGGAGTACGGGCGTGTCCTTGTCACACTTGCCTACATTCAGTTGCGCCCGGCCCCCTCGCCCCCCCCCCCCCCCCCCCCCCTCCCACGGGGACTGACAATGCAACACCACGAGAGCGATTAGAAAATTCCAATGGCAGTATTACAAGTCTTATTCGTACTCGGAACGAAAACGTGTACTTATTGCACGTTAAGATAATTTAAACGTGTCAGCTATTAGAAATACCGGCGTAATGTAGGTATAATGTCTTCCATCATATCTTCCTTTAAGGTTGGCAGCGCAACTTTGTGTATGTCCAGGAGCGGTCACAAGCGACGGGTCCGTCAGCTCATTTTGTCTCTTATAAAAAAATACATTAGCATGAGCTCACGTATCCTAATAGTCTTTCGGCCGTTCAATATTACATTGGAACCGGAACAAATGACATTGGCTGTGGCGACGTGCCACCCGTCGCCGCTGGGACGTTTCACTTTTCATAACGACACCGGTGAGAGGTGAGACCTCTACCTCTCGGTCCGAATTTCACAACTGTTGATGAAGCAAATACCCGAACTTTTCGCATTCGTCGATAACCTATAACAACCTATAACCGAATACAAGTAAAATAATTGTAACAACTCCTAAAAGACAATACGATTCATTCAATATTTTTTTCGTCGTTACTCCTCAATACATCAATTGAGGAAAAGTTTTAATATGTATTGATACGGGCATTAGCAGATAGGCATTTACTTGTTAGATTTGGAGGAATTAATTATATTACATATTTATAACACCTCATAAAGGTGGCAAATGTTGGCCAATATAACGTGATTACAATAACAGGTTTGCTTTAAACGTACGTTGAATGTAAATTACCTGTAGGCTGCCTTTAAGTAAAATCTATTTCATTTAGCGAAGCTTATGACACAAGCGAGCAATACGAATACTATTACTACATAGATCGCTCACATTTTAACTTATACTATTTTTATGGCAATAACTTAATGCAGTGTCATGTTGTAATTTAATTAATTAACGACTTTAGTCTAAACATCCAAAGGAAAAACTAAAAATCATAATTCTATCAAATTTTGCAACCACTGCCGGACTAAGCTCCGGCAAAGCGAAAGTTCGCAAATTTTCTTTTATTTTCGGCATGTTGGCCGTAGCGCTCCAAACCAATATATGTAACCTCATTATATATGTTGAAAAAATATAATAAAATATTATAGTGTACTCATTTTAATATCTACAAGTCACGCACTTGTGTTAATTATTTTTGAGGAATCTAAAAACAAAACATTCATTGCTGCCTATTACCTAATTCGACCTTTGATCGGGAAACTACATTTTAGTCTCTTCTAATAACCACCCCACTAAGCCTCAGGTACCTTGGAAATATATTTAAATAATTTACGAAAAATGATGACGTTCGCACGCAAAACACGAATAAACGAATTTCAAAGATGGCGTCGCGTTTGCCTGATACTTGGCGCGGCCGCCATGACACAGTGACCTACTTTATAAATGGAACGACGTGCCTACTAGAAAAGTGCCGCATGCGGCGCTGTCCACGAATACAGTATCAAAACGACAAATATATATCAATGTCACTTTACGTTCTTCGCATAAGTGTGTAGACGCGGGCGAGACAATGAAAGGAAAATCATCTCCATTTCGAAATGGAAGCTATTTTACCATCATAGTGATTCAATTATTGTTTCAAATCTGGCATGCAACAGCGTCCTCGTGCAGCTAGCTCAGTCGGCCAGTAGGGCGGCAATACAACCCGCATTTTGATGTCGCAAGACTGCACCGCGTACCTACTTATCAGTTCTTGTTCTATTCAACATTAGAGCACGCTATATAGTCTGTACGAGAGAACATTGAAACGTGTCTAGATTATCATATAATAAAATTATTTCGAAAATAAAGCCTTGGAAAATTGCTCACATTTCCACAGACTATGTCAATGTGACAGCAGTGATTAGGAATGTGCTGGATGACAGCAGAACAATATTAAAGAAAAATATAACGATTAATGCTTACACGTCTTTTTTTAATAATTTCGGTCGGACAACATTACGGTAAGTAATTTTGATGTAATGGTAACATTAAATATTTCGCTTGCGTTTGCGCAACGTGTAAAGAGAATGCGCACTGGTGGTGGGGCGGCACTTTCTCGTTGGGTACACGTTTGCTTTCGTTGGTGTTGCGACGGAAAAGGCCCGTTATCTCATTTGGCAGGTGCTCGAGTGCCGACTTCATTTAGAGAAAGTGTTACAAAAATGAACGTCTTTAATGTTATGCAAGGTGAATTACGTTGTTAGAATACAATGAATTACTTGTGAAATAGTTGTATAGTAGAATAATTGGACATGGATAATTGGTCGATATGCTGACAATAAGCTCAGTTGACTTACAATCGACCTACCGGCTTGTAGGTTACTCCACCGATCGGACGAACAAAAACATTTTGGGCTAATTATTGTATTAAGCCTTGACTTTACAAAATGATTCATCAATGCTCCATTTGTTTCTTTAAGTCACAGCACAAAATATATTTGTTAAAGACTGTTCCTTAATTTGCAACACTATGTAGACATTCATGACATGTGATTGTCTGAAAAATACGTACATGAATATCATCTGCAGCCGTTGACTCCAGATTTGGAGGAAATTGGAAACTGTTGATTCATTTTTGTAGGATTGTTTTTAAGAAATGCTTTTCTTTCTTTTTCTACAACCTGTTGCCTGAGAGAAAAAGAATAAATATAAATTAAAACAAGCTAAATGAAAGCCATTCTTGTGAATTAGTATATTATTAGAATGGGAATAAGTACAGATTATTATTAATAACCAAATGATTTAACGTAAAATAATTTTGTTAATAATAATCTGCACTACTTATAATTAAATATATTAAATTGCAGATACGGTTAAGCTATGAATAGCATTCATAATTTAAATAGGTTTTTATTATGAATCTTATTAATTTTATTAGAATACTTAAATCATAGGACAAGTTTCATCACAAGAGTCGAAAAGGTCGTGCGACGTGCGTCGTCGTCGAGAATTACATGCGTAATACCATGTTTTGGACAATTTATCCTCGAGATATCCAATTTAACAATTGTTATGGAAACTCTGTGCTCTATTTCATAATGAAGCTCCACGCGATCGTCAAATTTCTCATCCAGATGGAAGTCATTACAGCCTAATTGCCGCGTGACTCCGGTTACGACGGAGACGTCATCAGGCCATGACAAGTACTAATACCTCGGCACTGAAATGCCAGCGGAAGGTCACCTTAACATACTACGACCGAACGTATATTATATACGAATATCCTCTAATGCAATGTCATTTTTCAACGCTAACTCGAGTTACATAATGCCAATCTCAATCTTCCCAATTTTTCACCCGATTCATCATCATCAATGATTTTAGATGTGAATTAAAACGCTTTTTATTATTACACGACACGGCCTAACTAAAGAGCCGCTCTAGCCATAAGAATGTTACAAAACAGTGACGCTGTGAAAGAATGAACACGTACTTTTCTGGCGGTAGGCC